GAAGATTCGACGGTACTGCCCTCATGTTGTGTATCCATGGCCTTCCAAGCAATGCATTGTACCTCATGTCACCTTTGATGACATAAAATTTGGTATTTCGAATTGTACCGGACATGTTGACTTTGAGGGTGATCTGCCCCGTCGTTGCTTCATCGGCCATGTTAAAGTTGTTGAAGACTTGGGAAGTAGGTATGATTTAATCGAGCAGTCCGAGTTGTTCTACCACCTTCAACCAGATCACGTTGGCCGAGCTACCTATATCCACGAGTACACATTTAATTTGAATGTTATTCAAGAGAAATGAAATTACCAGCGCATCGTTATGTGGATGAGACAAGGTCTCGAAGTCCTCTTCACTGAATGCAAGGATGTCCTCGGGCATGCGACCCCGAATTTGCCCTTCTGTTGTAGCGAAAACTTTCATCCGCTTGATCACGGGTCCTTGAGGAACGTCGGTCCCCCCAATGATCATATGAATGATATGCTGAGGTTTTCCCATTCCGTTCCTCCCCCCTGCCTCTCTTTCCTCCCTGGATGGAATTTTTCGAGCTTCCTGTTGGTTTTCTTGGCATATACTCCCGTTAGTGTGGGAGCTTATATCGACGTGTTGGGCGTTTTGTGAGCCCACACCCATGGGGATTGGCTCTGGTGCGTCCTCAGGGTTTCGCTGCGGTGCATCGGCGCCTGAAACAGCTACACCATTCTCTTTATGGTCCTCAGGACCGTAGTTTTCTTGTGCATTTACTGTGTCAAACATTTTGACCTGAAATCAAAGATTCTTGGATAAGAAAAAGTGTGAAGAATAACTTGCGTTTTTCAGTATACCAACACTAAAACATTCACTATTATTTTTAGCCCCACGGTGGGCGCCAAACTGTTTACTTTAAAAATGGTAATTACAATTAAATTTGATTTTGTGGTTCTAAAAATATGTGATTTATTTTAATGCTAGTTGTTGAGTGATAGATGCTAAGTATGAGTCAGGAAAATGAGATAAGAGCTAGAGGACAGTATGTCATGCAAACTGAATGGTCGTGAACTGGGGTCTCGAGCTGGCCTATGCTGGGCCTCGAGGTCGAGCTAAAGTGTTAGACTGGGGATGGTCGATGAAGAACTAATAGTTCTAAGGACCTTGATGATGGCTCTTTATGATCAATGATGAGTAATAAATGAAGAACAATCAATAAAACACAATAAATGTAAGCAATAAAATCAAAGGAGCGATAGTAGAATATGTTTAAGTTGAAGAGCAGAGAATGTTCTTGTTCTTGTATTAAATATCATGTCTGCAAGAAATAACAAGGTCCCCCTTTATATAGGAGGGGGAATTCCAACATGGTACATGTATAATTATTACAAAGAAACGTAGTTGGTACAACTATTTAATGGTCTGGTATGGACTTGTACTATTCTTGCAGGAGTTGTCAGCTTTGACCACGTGCCTTGGGAATTTCCGGCTTGTCAATGATAGCCACCAATTTGTGCTACCCCAAGATCGAGCATAGGGAGCCCTAGGGGTCGAACCTCGAGCTGTGCCTCGAGCCTTTTGGAGACGGGCTATGAAATGTCGTAATGATCATAAAATCGGACTCTCCGATTTTAGCCGTATACAATAAAATCTACAGAAAATTTCCGTACGTATGTGTGAAATAAAGTTACAAGACGTGATGTGTTAGTTTGAGTGGCCTTATTAATTACTAAATAACTTGGTTCTTTACCTTACTCCTTGGACGTGAAATAAAATAAAAAGTAAAGAAAAAAAATGATTTTACGCGGAAAATCACCCGGCTCAAAAGGTGCAAAAATCACGACCTATTGCGTAGAATTTTCAAGTCCAACTCCACTAGAACAAAGAGACAAAATGTATCAATTACAAGACTGTAACTCAATACTCGCCAGTACTCCTACAACGACTATTTGATTTATAAGTTACTCTAATATGTAAAGCAAACACTCACTTTAGCTCACTAAATATTTGTGACACTTGATTACAACTCTATCTCCTAAAACACATTCACTAGACTGACTCAAGAAGAACACAATATTGGTACTCGACTAGAGTGTGTAAAATGTAGTTCTTCAGTTGATGTGTAAAAGGATAAGTTTAGCAGTCCAGATGGATAGTATTAAATGAATGGACTCCAAGATCTTCTAGGAGTCCTATGCATAGTCAGCGTCTTGTTTGATAGGTCTCTTACTGTTCCAAGGGCTCCACCAGTCTTGGAACTCTTGTCTCTCACTTATTTATGCATATCGTCTTGGGCAACAACCCTTATCATATGAAGCATCCTTCTTCCACCAAACTCGACCTCGGTAACTTTGTGATAAAGTTATTGTCTTGCACAGACATACAATCATCAGCCATGACAAGCTGGTCCTTCACCCTGAGGAGTTGGTTCTTAGAGCAGTTAAGCAACTACGTTGAGGACCTGGTTCTTCGAACATTTCATCAGAACAAACTTTATTAATCATCAAAATCTCAATACTCAACAAATTCCCCCTTTTTCATAATGACAAACTTTGTACATACTAGAACTAGATAATCACACCAAATCATGATCAACCAGCACATCGTACCACAGACAAACATACCCACACAACACTCCCAACTCTATCTTCCCCCTTTGGCATCATCGAAAAATAACAAAAGATGTTAGACATATTAAGTATAGTTAATGCAAGATTCAAAGCCATACAGGCTACAACACAAGCTCAAGAATTATCAAAGCAAACAGACTAAGCTGATGATCTAACTAAATACGAAGCATTAAAACATTATAAGAGAAGCCATGTAGTAGTGACAAAAATAAGCCCAGGGCCTTGTATTAAACCATTAGAACAAAATAAACTAAACCTTCTGCAAGATACTCATACTATAAGAGAAAAAAACAGAAACTAAGGCATCAACAGGATAACAAAAGAAACTAAGGACTCTGGGGAAGGAACAAGTTCATGGGTGAGAGGTAGAGGGGGGTCAATACTTTCACAAGGGTGTCAATCTATTGGGAATAAGCTTCCCTATCCCTTATGAGCTCTTTCCTAAGCTGCCTGGTTTCTTTCCTCAACTTATAATTTTGTTCTCGAAGCTTGGCATTCTCTTTAACAGCTAACTCCAACCTCTTAGTGAGCTCTGTGCCCTGCTGTTTCAGGTAGAATAGCAGAACCTGTTGGTCCTCTAGCCTTGATCTCCTCATAGCCATACTGCTTGAGGGTAACAACATTCAAGACATCATTATGATTTCCATACTTAAGCTCAGGCAAGGTAATGTTGAGCTTGTCAAACAACTCAATCAACATGAAGCCACAAGACATAGCATGCTTAGGCTTGAAAATGTCTGCAGCTTTTGCCATATGCTAAATCATCAAGCTAGGGGGATTGATAGGTCTACCAGTGCCAAGCAGTTCCATCATAGCCATGTCCAATGGGGTAGCCTCATGCCTTCTCTTAGACCTCTGCAAAATGCATGAATTGACAAAGTGAAACAACAGCTTGTGGAAAGGGGTCATATCAGTCTTGTACACTTTCTGGGGAGCATCCAGTTCAAACTTTTGAGAGAACTTCCTTGTAGCCACAATTCTTGTGTCCACATCATTATCTATGACTGGCCACTTTTTCTTCAAGTAATTGTCAAAATCTCAAAAAGAAATATTCAGAAGCATCCCCACTCCTCAGCATCAAACTCTATCTCAAACCCCCTTACCTTACTCTTGACCACCTTTCCATCAAATTGGAAGTTTGCATAGAACTCTACCACAACAGGCACATATATAGGAGGGAAAGCCTTGACAAACATGTGTTTCTAACCTTGTAGCTCAGGTTTTTCAACCAGTTGAGCCATCCCTTTTTCATTAGTTTGCAAGAATCTTCCCATTAAGCAATTTTCTATTCTTGAACTTAGTGAGTTTATCAACCACAACTGGCATATTCTTTCTCTTCTTTCCTCTATTGGCCCTTGCAAATGGGGTAGCAATTTTTGTAGCTTTGACAACCTTTCTCTTTTGTGTTAATGACTTTTTTGGCAGAGTAGAATTAGACTCATTTTCTCCATCCAACTCAACTACAGATTCCACAACTAAAACTTGCTTCCTTGGCTTCTTGGCAGCTCTAGACTCCTTAATGATTTGTTCATTAACAACCTTTCTTTAACTCATTGTGAGAGGAGTCCTGGCAGGAGGAGCCACTTCTTTCCTTTTAAGAACGGCAGACTTTTTCGCTTTCACATGAGTCTTCCTAGGCTTCTTCCCTACTTCAGACAAGGGCAAGTTATATTTATCACTACTAACCTTCTCATCTCCAATGAAAGGAGTTAACAAGGGCCCAGGTTTTTCAGTCCTTTTCTCTCTACTTGCTTCTTCTGAAGGGGATATAACAGTGTTCCCAATAGTCATAGAGCCTTCAGATTCCCCACTCGTATTCTCATTCTCTTCCTCACTTTCTTCATCCTCTCCTTCACTCGAACTTGCCTTTTCTTGATCCTCACCTTCACTATCAGACTCACCCTCTTCTTTACTATTCATTTCTTCTTCTGCAGAGTCATCCACTTGTTCATCTATCCTATCTTCTATCTCACTCTCCTTCTCTTCATGGCTCATTCTCTCTCTTTTCTCTTCATTAGTAAATGTTCTGAGTATGATGTCCCTCATGATTTCCCACAATCACTTCTTCTTTTTCACCTCCATTATCATCCTCATCCTCCGTCTAACTAAAAGAAAGACCATCAGATGTATCCTTTATTTTGTGCTGATTCTTTACTGCCTTCCCCCTCAACCATAAGCATAAAAGTAGTGGTATCTACCTCTTTCTCTAGATATGCTACATTCTTTTCTACAATGGGTTCCTCAATTTATGGTTTATCACTTGTGGGTAGGACAGTATCTAAGGGTGAATCATCTATAGCAGATACCGGAACACCTAATTTTGAGGGAGAGAGTTTTACTTGACTTGTAATAAATGACACTGATTCCACCTTAACCACAACTTCCTTAACCACTGTGTCTACTTAAGCAGCAGCATCATCAGGCACTACCTTGTCACTCTTGACAGATTTTCTTTGAGTAGCCTTGATCTTGGTTGACTTAGAGGTGTTTTTCGAAGTAGGCACATATGCACGGATGGTTGGTTTTGGAAGTGAAGGCTCAATGGATATGGGGATTGTGAGAACAACAAGATTAAGGGATGATGGTATAGGTACAGTAGAAGATATCGATGGAGAAGGAGCAGGTGTGGGTGCAGGTTCACTTGAAGATTTGACAATTTTCTTTGATTTAGGCTTCATCTTCTTGGATTTGACTTCAGTCTTGGATGATGATTTTGCTTTAGAAGGGGTTTGGCTGGATTTAGGCATGACGATAAGAGAGGAAAATCGATGGAGGGAAAGAAAGAATTATTTCTTGATTTTTGCTTAAGGTTTGAGAGAAATAGTAATGTGTAAGAAACTGATCACAAAGGGTTTTTAAAGGAGTTACTCCAAAGAGAGAGAGTGATCATATTTGAGTTCTAACGGGACTCTAATAATGATTACTTTGACTGTTAGGATTTCTGAATTAAGTAAACTCTAATTGCTCTAGGATTCCCCCTTACTCTTTGACTAGATGACAACTGGAAGTGATGCTAACAGGATTAGAAAGTCTGAGCATAGCAGTAATTTAGGATATTAAGTCCTAGTAAATTAAGATAAGATGGCACGTACCTAAGTCAAAGAACCAACTCTGTAATAACTCCTTACGTATTTCTGCTATAAAGCTTCAGCACTACAAGTTAGTATAATACACCATAATTATTAGTTAGATTTTTCTATGTAAGTGTGTGCACTTAATACAAGTACGATACTGAATCAAACACATTGTACTTGACTATCTACATCTAATTATACCTTTTCTACCCAATCATTAGGGTACAATTAGTTGGAAGTATTGATTAGACCTAGTTCAAGTTTATTCCTTTCAAAGTGGTCCCTACTCAGAGCTTTAGTAAATATATCTGCAATTTAGTCTTTAGTTTTACAGAAGTTAATTGAGATGTTCCCTTTTGCAATGTGCTTAGTTTTCTTGTTCTGACATGGATTTTTAGCAATGTTTATGGCACTAGTGTTGTCATATAAAATAGGAACACAATCAATAAAAATACCACAGTTCCTTAGATGTTGTCTTATCTACAGCAACTGAGCATAACAAGATGTTGTTGCCACATATTCATCCTCAGCTGTGGATAAAGCCACTGAGTTCTGCTTCTTTATTCCTCAAGACACCGGACAAGAACCTAAGAATTGTGTTGTTCCTGAGGTGCTTTTCCAATCAACATGAAAACCTACATAGTTAACATCAACATAACTAGCTAGATCAAAGCTATACCCTCTAGGAAACTACAAGCATAGATCAAGAGTCCCTTTTAGATATCTAAGTATCCTCTTGACAGCCTTCAGATGGGACTCTTTAGGATTTTCCCTGATATCCTACGCACAGTCCCACACTGAATACAATATCAGGCATGCTTTCTGTGAGATACAACAATGACCCAATCATTCCTCCATATAGCTTCTGTTCAACAATTTTCCCTTCTTTATCAAGGTCTATCTTTGTTGTAATGGCAATGGGAGTGTCTATGGACTTAAAGGATTCCATGTTGAATTTCTTCAGCAGTTCCTTGATATATTTTTGTTGATGTATCATAGTTCCAATAGGTGTTTTCTTGATTTGGAACCCCAGGAAGAAGTTCAATTCACCCATCATGCTCATTTCAAGTTCATTCCCCATCATCTCAGCAAATTCCTTGCACATTTCTTCATTAGTAGCTCCAAAGATAATGTCATTTATATATACTTGTATAATCAGAACATTCTTGCCTTTGATCCTCAGAAACAGAGTGTTTTCCACCTTTTTTTTAACATAGTTGTTAGTTAAAAGGAATTTGAGAGTCTTTCATACAAAGCTCTTGGAGCCTGTTTCAGTCCATACATGGCTTTGTCTAACTTGAAAACATAGTCAGGAAATTCTTCACTCTCAAACCCAGGAGGTTGTTTAACAAACACTTCCTCCTTCAGATAGCCATTCAAGAATGCACTTTTTACATCCATCTGATAGAAGGTGAACTCCATGTGTGCAGCAAAAGCTATTAGCATTCTTATAGCTTCCATTATGGCTACAGGTGCAAACTTCTCATCATAGTCAATGCCTTCTTCTTGATTATATCCCTTAACCACCAGTCTGGCCTTGTTCCTTGTGATATTTCCTTGTTCATCCAGCTAGTTTCTAAACCCATCTGGTACCTATGACAGTTCTGTTCTTGGGTCTTTGTACCAAGTGACAAACCTTGCTTCTTTTAAACTGATTAAGCTCCTCTTGCATCTCTATAATCCAATCTGGAACCTTTAGAGCTTCCTCGATGTTCTTAGGTTAAACCTATGAGAGGAATGATATGAGTGCACAAAGATTTCTCAGAGATGACCTAGTTTGCACTCCTGCATTAGGATCAGAGTTGATGTTGTCAAGAGGATGTGAACTTTGATGTTTCCATGCCTAATCTGCATTCCTAGAGGTTGTTCTTCCAAGGAATGACCTAAAGGAATAGTTTCGGTAGGTATAGCTTCATCAGTCTGGTTAGAAATTAGAGTAGTTCTCTCTTCTTCTTGCTCCTCATGATCACTGTCAACTTCTTTGTGATCTCTGGATCCATCTTCATGTTGAGGTTCAGGTACCTTAGGAGCTCCTTCACCAGTGAGTCCTATGTCATAACCATTATCCTGCAGACCTTTCTCAACCAAATTATTAGATTCATCAAAAATAACATAAACATTTTCTTCTACACACATAGTTCTTTTATTAAAAACTTTGTAGGCCTTACTATGTGGAGAGTAACCCAAGAGAATTCCCTTATCACTTTCGTTATCAAACTTACCTAGAACTTCTTTGTCATTATTGTGCACAAAACATTTGCACTCAAATGCTCTTAGGTAAATGATGTTAGGCTTTCTCCCTCGAAGTAACTCATAGGGAGTTTTCTCAAGAATAGGTCTACCACGCATTTGTTTATCAAGTATCATGCAGTATTGACTGTCTCAGCCCATAAACTCCTAGACAATCCACTATCAATCAGCATGGTCCTTTCCATGTCTTATAGGGATCTATTCTTTCTTTCCGTAACACCATTTTATTGTGGAGTTCTAGGTGCAGAGAAATTATGATCAATGCTATATATGTTACAAGACTCAAGGAATTTAGAATTTTCAAACTCAATTCCATGGTCTGTTCTTATACATAAACATTTTAGTCCAGTTTTTATTGGATGATCTAACAAACACACAGAAAACATTAAAAGTTTCATCTTTAGATCCTAAAAACAGAGTCAATGTATACCTGGAAAAGTCACATACAATGATAAAAACATACTTCTTACCTTCTCTGCTCCTTACTCTCATTGGTCCACAAAGGTTCATATGAAGGATTTCCAGAGGTTTGGAGGTGCAAAAAACCCTTTTAGATTTAAAAGGTGACCTTACATGTTTCCCTCTAACACAGGCATCACAAACCTTGTCTGAGGAGAACTCAACTTTTGGTTAGCCAAGGACCAAGCCCTTTGCTATCAACTTGTTGAGTTGAGAAAGACTAGCATGACCCAGTCTTCTATGCCATAACTGTGGATCATCATCCACTACACTTAAGCATGTGTGCTCACTCTGAGGAAGAGACATAATGAATATCTTGTAAATATTGCTATGTCTCTTACCTTTTAACACAACTTCATTAATATCAAGCTTACTGACAGTTCAGATTTTGGAATTGAAGCTTACTTCATTTCCTTTATCACACATTTGAGAGATTCTAAGAAAATTATGTTTGAGGCCTACGACATAATACACATCTTCTATAGCATGAGAGAGTGACTTACCGACCTTACCAATACCTGTTATCTGGCCTTTTTCTCATTTCCAAATGACAAACTCCCTCCTTGGAAGACTGTCAGTGAGAGAAAGTTTTTCTTTTCTCCAGTCATATGTCTTGAGCATCCACTATCTAGATATCAGTCTTGATTATTCCTTCTCACTTTAGCCTGCACCAAAAATCACAAGTTAGTCTTGAGAATCCAGACAAGCTTGGCTCTCTTTATATTTGAAAAAGGATGAATCAGATCTCTTCTTGCCCCGAAGGGAAGAGTATTAATAGATATTTTCTTATTAAACTTAATCCACTTAGTATGGACAAAAGTCTTGGCTTTTGGTTCCTTTTCCTTCTTCACATTTTAGCAAGGCCAAAGGTGTTTTTAAACTACGAAAGAATTAAGGCAGGGAAAGTATCTCTAAAGTATCATACCTTTCCAAAATGAGTGCATATTTTATTAGAAATTTCTACATACTTTGGATCAAATTTGGGAACATGTTTTCTATAGCCAATTCCTGATTTGTTAGTACTGCAGTTTTCATTAAGCCAGTTCAAGGCATCTGATGATCTATGCCATTTTCTTAGTCTAGATAGTTCATAATTAGCCTTTTCTAGATTTTCTTGCAGGACTTTATTCCTACATTTAGCATCACAAAGATTATCTTTAGCCCCTTTTAATTCCTTTTCAAGCTTATCCCACAGATCACTCTTTTTTTCCTTATCATGTATATTAGGTGACTTCTCAGAAGTGAGCTCAAAAACCTGGTTCTTAAGGTCTTTGACTTGTCCTTCTAGATCAACTTTTTCAGATTCAAGTTCTTTGAGATCATGTTTTACACATGAGAGGTTGCTTATTAATTGATCATTTCCAGTACTCATTTTGTCCATTTCACTCATCATGGTCACAATTATGGCCATCCATTATTTTTTAGACATAGAATGAATATTGTTTTTCAAGTTAGAGATACTTAACTAATTTGTTTTATCATTAGTCTCTAAATCACTCATGACCATCATTCCTATCACTTATTCTTTTGTTTAGCTTTCTTCAATCGCCATCAGTGCTACTTCAATGTTTTCATCTCCAAAATCAGCTTCCAAGGTTCTCCATATATCATAGGTAGAGATGAAAGAGGACACTTTGTAGAGAACATTTCTGGGCAAGCTTCTGTAGAGCAGGTCCTTTGCTTTAGCATTTTTCTGGATTAGCTGATGATCTTCATCATCATATTCCTCTTCTTTGTTGTTACACTTGTTATCTTCACCATCCATTTTAGTAGGGATGATTGGTCCATGACTGAAAATTACCCATAGGTTAAAGTCAGTGGCCTGAAGGAATGTTTTCATACGCATCTTCCATTCATCATATTGATGTCCATCAATAGAGGAGGTCTTCCAATGCATATCCTAAGCTGCACTGGAGGCTCTGTCTCTACTACCTGATGTTCATCAATTAGAGCATAGAGACTTATGGCTTCATCCTTATTTTCTTCCTCTTTATCACTTCCACTATCCTCATATGCTGCTAAAAGGTATGCTTCATTACTTCAGTGAATTATTTACCTATTTTTTCCTTTGTTGGAACCCTTTTCTCTCATCTTCTCCCGTTTTTCCTTTTCAGATCATTATTTCATCCACTCAATTTCTCACATTGTGCAGTCTTTGACCATGTGGTCTATCTTGCTACACTTGTAGCTCCTATCATAATTAGCTTTGTCGATCTGCTTAGGCTTACTATTGGTCTCTCTCTTTGTGATGACCCAAAGGCTCATCTTCTGTTTTAAAATTCAAATTTGTGTTCTAAGGCCTTAAAAATCTTATTTTATCTCACTTCGATTTACGTGCACAATCCAGACCTAATTTCGGAAAGCCTTTATTTGGAAAATTTATGAAATAATCATTTTTTTCCCTAAAAAGTAAATTTTTGTTGATTTCGGTCAACGTTTTGGATTAATAGACTCGAACCTATGATTTGACATTCCCAATAGGTCTGTAGTAATATATGGAACCTGGGCGTATACCCGGAATCGAATTCCGAGGTCCTATGCCCGAGAAATAAATTTTTGATGAAAAATGTAATACTGAAAATCCAATGATTTAAAGAAATTGATTAATGTTTGATCTTGTTGGTATCGGGCCAGTATTTTAGTTCCAGAGCCTGGTACATGTTTAACATAATATTTAAGTCGTGTCTATGAAATTTGGTGAAAAACGGAATTGATTTGACATGATTCGGACCTTTGGTTGAGAAAATAGAAGTTTTGAAACTATCTTGAAACTTTCATGCAATTTTGTGCTAAATTCATAGTTCTAGGTATTATTTTGGCGATTTGATCGCATGAGTAAGTTTGTATGAAGTTTTAAGACTTCTGTGCATATTTGGTTTGGAGCCCCGAGGACTCGGGTGAATTTAGGATAGGCTACTGAGTGTTTTGGAACTTAGAAAAAAATTGCTGGTATTGCTGAACTTGTTGCAGGCCTCTGATCTCGCATTTGCGAGGTCAGGCATCGCAATTGCAAACCCTGCAGGTTCCACATTTGCGAGGCTTTAATCACAATTGTGATTAAAAGCTGGACCATGCAGTCTTCGCATTTGCAAAGATTTCTTTGCATTTGCAAAGTGAAGTGGGGAGGGGCAGTGATCGCAAATGCGATCATTTTGTCGCATTTGCGGAGGTCCCTGTTCGCAATTGCAATCATTACCTTCGCAATTGCGAAGGCAACAGAGGTGTGGAGAACTTCGCATTTGCGAGCTTCGCAAATGCGACAACTGCAGCTGGTATGTTTGGACTTAGACGGGATTTTTTATTCATTCTCCCATTTTTCAAAACCTAAACTCAAGAGGCGAATTTCCAAAGGATAGTTCTTCCCCAAATCATTGTTAATGATTCTTAACTCATTTC